TTGGCTAAGGTATTCGGCTTCTGACCCGCAGGTCGCGGGATCGAATCCCAGCTGCGGTGGCTGCATTTTCGATAGTGGCGAACATAAAGTAGGCCCGTGTGATCTGATTTGGGTGCACGTTGAAGAACCCCACGTAGTCGAAATTTTCGAAGCCCTCTACTACGGCGTCTCTCATAATTATATTGTGATTTTGGGACGTTAAACTCCACATATAAATCAAACAATCAATCAAATCGATTATGATGATGATAATGATGCAGCAGTTACCTCTGATGACTTTCGCTTTCGAGTCGTTCTAGGCGAGTGCATATGACCTGGTGAGTCACCAATCACAACATGGTATTAAACCAAGCTTTTTTGTGGATTCCTCGGCACGTCTTCATTTGTTAAGCGGCCAAAAAACTTCAGGAAAGGGAAGATGAAAGCTTGCGATAAAAAAATCTGTAGGCAGTGGTTGTGTCGATCGGAAGCGGATTCGTGTTCCTCAGGGCTAGAACAGAAAGGTTCTGTTCTAGCCTTGAGGAAGACAAATCCACTTGTCGAAACGTCCCCTCGACACAACCCCTGACGTATTCCTTGGTGTCGCGACCTTTTATAGATAGATAGATAGATAGATAGATAGATAGATAGATAGATAGATAGATAGATAGATAGATAGATAGATAGATAGATAGATAGATAGATAGAGGTATAGATAGATAGATAGATAGATAGATAGATAGATAGATAGATAGACAGACAGATAGATAGATAGATAGATAGATAGATAGATAGATAGATAGATAGATAGATAGATAGACAGACAGACAGACAGATAGATAGATAGATAGATAGATAGATAGATAGATAGATATAGATAGATAGATAATAGATAGATAGATAATAGATAGATAGATAGATAGATAGATAGATAGATAGATAGATAGATAGATAGATAGATAGATAGATGATAGATAGATAGATAGATAGATAGATAGATAGATAGATAGATAGATAGATAGATAGATAGATAGATAGATAGATAGATGATAGATAGATAGATAGATAGATAGATAGATAGATAGATAGATAGACAGACAGACAGACAGACAGACAGATAGATAGATAGATAGATAGATAGATAGATAGATAGATAGATAGATAGATAGATAGATAGATAGATAGATAGATAGATAGATAGACAGACAGACAGACAGATAGATAGATAGATAGATAGATAGATAGATAGATAGATAGATAGATAGATAGTAGATAGATAGATGATAGATAGATAGATAGATAGATAGATAGATAGATAGAGATAGATAGATAGATAGATAGATAGATAGATAGATAGATGATAGATAGATAGATAGATAGAGACAGACCAGACAGACCGGACAGACAGACAGACAGACAGACAGACAGACAGCAGACAGGACTAGACAGACACGGATAGATTAGATAGATGATTGATAGAGATAGACTAGATAGAGGCTAGATAGATAGATTAGATAGATAGATAGAATAATAGATAGATAGATAGATAGACGAGGATCGATAGATAGATAGATAGATAGATACGATATCTACTCCTTTTGGTGGACGTATATGTAAATTATGTAAAACGTAGTGTAGCCCAAACAATTGGCGCCCTAAACAAACTTTGTATGTATTTACCCGAGAACATAAAACGACAACTTTACCATTGTGCTGTTCACACAAGGCTACAGTATTGTATACTAGTTTGGGGCGCTACGTCAAAAACAAACATTCATGTTCTTTATGTAATGCGAAAACATGGTTTACGATTCATTCACAACTTATAAAGTCGACAACATGTTTCTTCCTATATTAAATATAGCTAGATATTGACTATTAAGGACATATATAACCAACGCCTAGCCGAAACAGCCTTCCTGAACTTGAAATCAGACCCAGAAATATTTTTATGATTATACACTAAGGCTGCTCCGCATTATAGTCTCAGACACACTGCATTTCAAAAATTCAGACTAGGACAGGATACGGCATACAACTGCTCCAAAGGCAGATACCAACTCTTTTAAATATGTACCCCTCTCTACTTGATGGGATGCACAGCTGCTCTTCTTTGCTTGCCTTCCGGAAAAAAAGTTAAAAAGCTTCGACTCGAACAATAATGTCTTGTTCTTCTGTCTTCTCTTTTGTAGCTCTATTATTGTGTGCGAGCGTGTTTTTTGTGTTTTTTGTAAAAATGCTTTTGTGTTGAATCTTTTTAAAAAAACTATTTTTTGGTGTGTAACAAGGGTTATTTTATTACACATATTTATGCTTAATATGTTTGACTACAGGTTCCAGAATTGAATACAAACTGTGTATGGTTTGCCTGATATTGTTGTATAGTTGAACATAGAATTGTATAAGGTTTTGAATTACAGTTTCTAAGCTAATTGCGTTTTGTATTAAACTGCTGCTTGTGTGATTGTGCTGCCTGGGGCTAGGGGCCTAGTCAGGCTACCTCAAATGTTGCCTTTTCCCATAGCCCCAGGGCAACCTCTTTTGTTGCCGAAAAAAAATAAACAATTCAAAGTCACCAAAATTTCTTAAGAAATGCTTCACATTTAAAAGATGCCAGTGGGATGAATTCGTGAAAACTGCACATTGAATTGATGTCATGCTTGTGTAGCTCCATTTTATTACCTTTATTACATTTTATACACCATTGCTCTTAGAACTCATGTTTAGTTTACCAAACTGCACTGGTTATCATCATCATCATCATCATCATCATCATCATTATGCTGGAACGTCCACTGCAGGACAAAGACCTCTCCCATGTTCCGCCAGTGAATTCAGTCCTGTGCTTGCTGCTGGCATTTTATACTCGCAAAATTCTTAATCTCATCTGCCCACCTAACCTTCTGTCTCCCCCTAACCCACTTGCTTTCTCCAGGAATCCAGTTAGTTACCCTTAATGACCAGCGGTTATCCTGTCTACGCGCTACAAGCCCTGGTTATCAATGAATTATTATTGGGATATTAGGTATGATGCGCGTCTCGGATCTCAAGCTACGAAATGATAGCATGCAAATAATAAGACTCGACTGTTTGGCTGTCACTGTATTTTCCGCTGTTTACGTCTTCCTCTCGTGGTTTGCTTTCGCATTGGGTGTCTGCATTCTGCTCCTAAGTAGATGCTTCTGACATGCAGTTTTCACTCGAGCTACCTCTGACAACATACGGTTCCCCACTATAGTTGGCGGAAACCTAGACTGGTTGTTATTCTAGCGAGTTGGTGTTGCATAACTGCAGCACGTATTAGCACGGCTCATGAATGAAACAAGAAGAGCGCTAGGTATCTCTCCATGTGTGTAAGATCTTCTGTTATGCATTGCGCTAACATGCACTGTAATACCAGAAACTTGATGACAAGTCACCCTGCTATGACTACGTTTTTTTTTCCTCCTCCACTTTGTCGAATCTGTCAGCTAGAATAAAGCTTTCAATTAAGCAACCTTCTGTGTGTGTGTGTGCATGTGAAATACTTCACTCCTGCCATTCGACATTACTACATATTGTTACCAAATAACCATATATACTGAACGAGTCACTTCAAGAATCAACCGTGTTCACAAAGTGGCCAGTGCTCGGTGTGCAAGACAAAACTTGTCCTCGTCTCATATCCTCGTGACGCGATGATATGTTCCATAGTTGCAGGGGCATTTAGCCTGGCAATGGAGGTCAACACTTGATCCGCTTAAGTGTTTCTCCGCTGTACCACTGGGCTATTTATGATGCACTTGTGAAAAAAAAAAACAGTGTACCTCGGGAGCTGGAAGACCTCTCGATGGGAGTTTGCTTGCTGTTCCTCTGGAGACGCAAGATCTGTTGCTCATGCATGTATAGGCAGCCTTCCTACTGTAGTTTCCTTTCACTGGCGTAGCGACAAATTTTACTTGTAAGGGAGCGTGTGGCGAGAGAGGTGGGGGGTTTCAAGTAACCTTTACGTATGTTCTCGCGTGTACTTGTGTGTGTTCGTGTTTGCGCGCGTTCCTCATATCCCTGTTGTTTAGAATCCTGAAGTAAAATTTTATAACTGAAAGAAAAGTAGTGGTATATTGCCTTGTCGAAAATGATGCACACTGTTATCTTTGTCCTGTTAGTGAGCAAACTAACGAACTAACTAACAGAGTGACTAAAAATAAATAAATAAATAAATAAATAAATAAATAAATAAATAAATAAAACATTGGTGGGTCACGTTTAATAGTCTATGTTGCAGTAGCACGGCCGCTACTAGAAATAAAAAAACGAATGTTTAAAACCCTCTTTTTTAGTATATACTAGCAGCTTTGACTGAGCCGTGGGCGCTCGCCACTTCCTCGTTGCATACACACCATAACCTGCAAGTCCCCCACCGGAATTACTAGAGTACTGATGTTTGTGCGCATTTTTGCATCTGACGAGCAACTTGCGACAATTGTAGGAAGTGAAATACTCGGAATCCTTAAATGGGACGAAATAAACGTTATTATTGTGGTTTGGTTAGATATGTACACGTAAGGGAAGGCAGGCTTTAAGAGATTCGAGTGCCCCAACACACAGTTCAGAACTTGTATCATCGATCCACAATTGGTCATCGTAATCACGCCGACATCGCCGCTGACTGCTGACTCCTTCACGTGAAGAGTCCAGCGCAACTAAGACAAGGTCACCAGTTCGAATCCTAACCATGTCGACCACATGCCGACGAGGCAGAATGGAAAAAAGCTGCTATTCCTTCGTTCGCATGTCAAGGAGTTTTAGAAACATCCAAAAGTAAACCGAAGCCTCCCTTAATGCTATAGTCCTTATCCGACGGGCAGCCTTGGAATGCTGGAAGGAGCCGTCAAGGCAATCACGACCCCTGCGCGTAACGTCAATCACCGTCATGATACGTACCTGTGCATAATATATGTGTGACGACAATGATGCAACGAACACCGCGATTGTACGAATTCTCTTCATAACCTAGTGGACGGTATATGGCGCTCGCTTACCAGTAGTAGGCCACCTTGTCCCCTCGTCCTGCGAGGACGTGACGGTCTAGCGCGTTGTAGCAGGCGTTGGTGATGCCTCCCTGCATCCACATGACACGCACAGGTCCGGCACGGGGGTCGAAGTTGTAGGCCAGAAAACGATCGGGGCTGGGCGGCACTTTCCAGTCGAGCCTCTGGGCCAGCTTGCCCCAGAAGGCGGCCGGATCGTCGACGGATTCGCGGTACATGCGCTCGTATTGAGCCATCGACGACACATGGTACCGGTGGTTCTGGCGGTGTTCGTGCACCGAGGGCTCGACACCATCCTGGCGCTGCTGGTCTTGAGGACCGTGTATGCTCATGGTTTACGTGGTCAGCGCTGCCGTTGCACGGTCTTCGGGCCGCGATCGCCCAGCCGCGGAACTCAAGCTGCGACAACGAGGACGAGACCCCCGGGTCCCCCAGTGAGGGTTACTGTGTACGGCTGCGCAGCACACCGAGACTGCTTCGGCGCTGGCCGGACCTGAATCAAGCCGGTGTTGGATTTCGCGCCGTGATAAAGAACGGGCCCTTGTGGCGTACCGAGGGCGAGGGAGGAAGGTGTGTGCATGCGCGCTCGTTGGCCACTGGCGTGGCTGGCTTCAGATAGGCGCTCACTGAGAAAGAAAAACAACACCGAAGAAAAAGAAAAAGCTGTTTCCTTGTTTTTTTCGCTGCACTCTGTACGCGACTGCTGCTGTTGCAGTCAAACAGCCCGCGAGGAGGAGGCCCAGCAAATGAGGGGACGTGAGTGACGGGCGTCTGTTGAGAGGGCAGGTTAAGAGGAAGGGAAGCGGGCTTAGAACGCTGCTCGTGGGAGAGGATGCGAATGTCACAAACGGGTGCCGTGCGGCGCGCGCGACGGCATCGCTGCGGAGGTCAGGCGCGGGCGGCACTGCGCAGCCCAAGTGCCTCGTTTGTCGAGGGAGGAAACAGTCGCAAAACGAGGGGAATATTAACAGAGATCCGGCGGCCGAATGTCGTCATCTGACGTCGGGCGCATCGTAGGCGCGCGGGGGGGTTGTGTATATGCGTACGGCACGGACCGCTTGCGCTCCGCGGTCGCACCCCCTCTTGGTGATGATCGAAGACCCGCAGTGGACGGAAATAATGAGAACTAATCGGCTTACGAGAACGACAACCGGAGGCATGTCATAGATGGTTCGCCGTCGAATCATACGTGGCTGGAATCTTTCTGTAAAGAATGGCGTGAATCACGAGTGATGGTCTTTCGTGGCGTCATAATTTGACGAGGTCGTGCTACCTATCGCCATTTCATCTGGTTGAACGTACAGTTAGGCTACAGATATATTTAGTTACAGTACAGTACTAGTACAGTGCAGTAAGGTAAGGTTAAGTACAGTACATCGACTGGTGAAATCATTAGACGCTAATCGCCCAAGTTATCTGGCAAGGTTCAGACATGAGTGAGATCAATTTGACTTGGGTATGTGCGCTTGTACATAACGAGGCGCTGTAAATGAGTTGCAGTGTCGACATTGCAGTGACTAGTACTTCAAGTTCGCTTCTACATTTACGGGAAACCTACTTTGCCACATTTCACCTTTGGTGAGGAAGTTATCCATGTCGTAACACGGATTGAAAGTGCAAACAAATTACAGACGCCTGTGTTTAGCTGACGGGGAATTTCAGTCGGCCCATGATGCGATAATATTAGGTAAGCTGCATGTAGTTTTGCTCCAAACTTGGCTACTATATTGTGCAACAGAGCGGAAACTTAAACCAAAAAAGTACTCCCAGTGACATACCTTTATTTATCCAAAACTCTGTTAAAATAAAAACAACAGAAGCCATATGCTCAAGCACTCCTAGCCTTAAGACATAGATATGCTGATAATCTATTCACCTGTGTTTTTAGGACGTGGCGTCTCCATGCTTAAATGATAAGTAAATGGCCGCTTAGACCTTATTTGGAGCATGCGCACTATCTAAGACCTAGCCACATTTTACGTACACTGAAATAGTAAATTTCTTATTTTTGTTTTCTCTTTGGGAAAGGGGGAGAGGGAGGGGACACTTTCGCATCTCTTTGTCATCCAACAACCAGTAAATAGTGGCTAGCCAGATGAGATCCCCGCTTTGCCTTGTTTGATGGTCTCAGTTTGCGGCAAATGCGTCTTGGCTCCACACCTCTTTAATTTTACAGAGGAGTTGTTATGGTCGATATTGTCAGGTGTAGATAAAGAATTATTAGCATCATGGAGCGGCACGCCTTCAATGACCACCCAAGCATTCTGCCCAAAAGATTAACAAGAGATGCCAACTAGTGCCCACCCCCTGTGCTGCGGGAAAGAGTCTCGGTGCTCTCACAATCTTCTCCTTAAATTGGGGTCGACAAAAAAAATTTGTCGCATATGTCTGGCTGGTGATGACATGGATAATGTGAAAATTTCGTCATGTACCACGTTAAACTTTTCCTCAAGACAAGTGTGATACATGCCCGTATGCCACGGTTCACAGCATGCGGGTGATTGACAGTTTATATCTACACTAGAGCGGCGAGAACAGACATCTGCAATTTGAATGTGGGAGCGTTGAGAAAAACTGGTAGCAGTAGTGTCGACCCCAATAAACGCAAATAAATATCATGGTCCCAGAAAGAATCGAAGCAAATCATTCTGCACAGCAATCAAGTATCCTAGCAAAGGACCATCACCAAGGCTCGAAGCTGCTTTGGAAAAAGACTCTGTGCAGACGATTGGTGAAATGTCAATTGTGGTTGCAGTGCTGGCTAACTAATTTAATAAACACTGCATATATGTTCCTATGATACAGGCGCCAGGTTGGGTTAACGTCAACTTTAGCTAAGCGTCATCAACTGAAGTTCAACTATGCCGGGCTAGCATCCTCGCATGTACAAGTGCTACGTTTCAGCTTGCCGCTTATAGTGTTGGTAATACTCAAGTTGCTCTTAGCAACGTAATGCAACTGTAAACTGCTTGCATAAAAAGTCACAGTTTCGCCGCAACGGCGAATAAATGAATGCGATAGCAACAACTTGGAACGTACCGCCGAGAACGGCAAGCAGATCTAAACGTGCAGCGCGCTGCTCTCGCACAAATGGGCCAATAAAACAAGATACACAGACGTGAGCGAACTGACAACGTTTACCGCTCGACACTTCGCGCGCTGTTTATGCAAAAACTGACGCACGAAACGTAATCAGCAAGTACGAATTAGTGCAAACTAACAGCGTCATAGTTATTATACTTCGCTGTGTATGAAAAAGCATGCTCCTTTTCGCAAATAGGGGCCAGTGCTGCGAGCGAAGTGATCTTTGTGGGCTCGGCAACTAACGCAATCGTTCTGGTGAAAGCCGAAGGCTATACAATTCTCCCACCGAAGGATAAGCGCGCGCTGCACAAGCATCTGTACCTCCCCCCCCCCCCCCCCCCCTGAATCTGCGGAGAAAAGTACGCGTGGGAGATAACCGCGCGTCGGGGCATCGTGACGAGCTGGGCGCCGAGCACCGGCAGGCTTTTTTTTTCTTTCTTGAGTTTTCATATATATCGATACGTATACATATATGGTGAATGAGGGCGGAAACGGCAAAAGACCTGCCGAGACTGTCCATATAATCGCTATCGCAATATAACATATGCAACTGTTCAACATATGTACGTGCGTATAACATTTGAATATAACTTTCAGCCTCGTTACGCTGCGTTTTGCATCTTAATAAAAAAAATTGACATCACAGCCCCCCTTCCTCGGTATGTTGAATGACATCGATTCCCGTGATATGTGGGATCTGAAGGTGATGATGATGCCTCACCTTTGCCTCATACCCACTCTGGGGGATCTGCCAAATTTTTCACTTCTTCTTCTTCTTCTTCTTCTTCTTCTTCTCTTCTTCTTCTTCTTCTTCTTCTTCTTCTTCTTCTTCTTCTTCTTCTTCTTCTTCTTCTTTCTTCTTCTCTTCTTCTTCTGTCTTCTTCTTCTTCTTCTTCTCTTATTATTATTATTATTATTATTATTATTATTTTGCTGTTGTCCATCTTTGATGTGTTTATGAAACACAAACAACCGGGCACGGGAGAGAGCGCAAAGCGAGAGATGTGGCATGAATAAAGACAGGAAATCAAGATTTGGTTTGCTACCCTGCACTGGGAAAGAGGCAAAGGAGAAAAAAATTGGGAAAAGGGAAACATAGAGTGGGAGGGTTGGAAGCGGAAACAGACACTGGAATGTGACAACCGTTCGACGAGGCGGGTTCGCTCGCAGAAACTTCAAGAAGGCCTTCCTCGCTTTTCAGTGTGAAGTTCGATCTTTCCGGCATTCCAAAATTGATTTTTCCGAAAGCGCCACACCAAGCCACATGAGTGTCAGATCAGGATAAACAGCAGTTGAAATGGTAAGTCGTAGCATGGATCCAGGCCGTGAAGACAGGTGTGAAACAAACCGGGCGTGCTCCACAGCAACCTTGCGAAATTGTGCACGAGCGTGTTAATCCTTACTGCTGCGTCACTTCTTGATAGTAGAATAGGATCCATCGCTCCATATTTGCGAGCGTTTTTCGCTTCATCGTCGGCATGTTCGTTATCGGTGATGCCACAGTGGCCTGGTAACCATTGAAAAGTTACACCATGTCATTTCTCTATTACTTGTTTGATACAGTCATTGTGTTTCCAGCCCCAATTTATCTTGAGGTCCACGACGTAGTGCAGTTTGAAGACATTGCAGAGCTGGTTTCGAATCGGTGAAAATGCACCATTTTAGAGGTGCCTCTTGATCAATCCTGGGGAGTGCACCGCGGAGTGCTGCGAGCTCTGCGACTGTCGATGTTGCTTTGTGAGATGCTCGAAACTAGATGGTTTCGACTTTGCCGGGAAGATCAGAGCTCCTGCAGATCCCCTAACATTTGTCAAACCATCGGTATAAAGCTTAACGTGGTGTTTGCATGCTTCGTGCAGCATAAGTAGAGCCAGCTGCTTCAAAGCTGGCGTAGAGAGATCCGCCCTAATGCGAATTTCCGGCACTGTCAAGCGTGGGTTTGGACCGTCCAAACGCCAACCAAGGGGGTGCCAGGATACGTTCCGGAGGCGTGTAGGCTGTTATAAGGCACTCACGGCAACTTTGCCTCCTTCCGTCTGAGAGAGCGTATACCCTCGACGTGGTAGGTTAACTGGTAAGGTATCCCGCTTAAAATCTCAATGGTGCGGGTTTGATTGTGGTCCAATGAGGCCTCATTCCGATAAGGGTGAAATCTGAAGAACATCGTTGCGCTTTGATTTAAGAGCGCCTTAAAGAACCACACTGCAGGTGGTCGAAATGAATTCGGAGTCATCCGCTATGGCGTACCTCATAATTATATCGTGGTTTCAGCACGTGTAACACCCGTGATTAATATTAGTAAATGCAAGCGTATAGAATAATGGAAGCATAGCGTGCGGCTCAGAAAACGCAAGGACGCGTGGTCGTTGCTATTTCTGAAGCTGCCTGATGTCGATGGCTTCTTCTACTTCCTGCGAGCAGCGGACGCTAGTCTTCATGTGATCGTCATGCAGCTGTGTCCTTCAGAGATGCGCGATATATGGGTTGTTTTTTTTCCTTCACGAAAGCGAAACGCGGCACGCCCGTTTTTCCGATGGCTTCCCCTTCGCTTAGAAACATTTTTGTCCGGGGCGTATTTGCTGCCACTTCACGCAACGAACAGGTGCGCGACTGTAATC